CAAGCGAGAGTGGTAAAGACTGCGGACAAGTTCAGTAGGACTCCACTGCCCTCCGTGTCTTGCCCCAGGACACCTCGACACATGGACTGCAGGCATTGAGATTTGAACCTTCAACCTTCCGGTTGGGAGACAACTACTCTACCCACTGTACCACTGTCGCCTCCTTGTATTTTGTGGCATTCATGTGGATGGTAAAGTAAGAATTTCATTGTACAGGGAAACATGTTTCCAGACCCTGTGATGTCCTTCAAGTGGGCCAGCACCAGTCTTTCGAAGGACTTCATAACTACAGATGTGAGGGCTACAGGTCTGTAGTCATTCAGTCTACTGATGGATGGTTTCTGGGGAAACAGGATGATGGTGGAGCATTTGAAGCAGGAGGGGACCTCACAGCTCCAGTGATCCAGTGTGAAGATGGGGGGCCAGCTGGTCAGCACAGGCTTTCAGGCAGGAGGGGGTCACACTGTCTGGGCCTGGTGCCTTTCTGAACTTTTTTTTTTAAAGGCTATGCACATCCTTTTCATAGATCTTCAGGGGTGAGGGGCTAGGGGGAAGGGAGGTGATCATGGGGGGAGCAGCGGCTGGGTTCAAGATGAGGTGGTGTGGGATTTTGCTTCTCAAACCTACAGTAAAACACATTCAGGTCATCTACCAGTTGATTGTCTTCCACAGCAGGGTGGTGGTTTCCTGTAGTTAGTGATGTTTTTCAGGCCTCTCCACCCAGATGAGGGGTTGTTGGCTGAAAACAGGTTTTTCAGCTTTTCAGAGTAGCTCCTCTTTGCTACTTTGATCTCCCTTGTCAACACTGGTCTGGAAACAACGGTTTTTAAGATTAATAAGAGGCTTTTTGGAAATAGGGGAGTTTTAAGTAACATAAGATATCACTGATTCTGTAAAATAAGTCCATTTTTAAATATTTGCAATTGCAGTCATCAGTAAATATAGTAAAATGATGTACATTTTTCTGAATTCTTTGACATATTGCAGTAAAAATATACTATGTAGGCATATCCAGTGGCCATGAAGTCAATGACAAGCTATTTGTCTCTGCATTACTGGGACTTTGAGGGCATTAGATGGTTAACTTTTGAAACAGTACTTTGTGTTTTTGTCTGCAGGCATTGATTCAGAAGGCCATGCTGCCAACTATGTGGAAACAGAGCAGACAGTACAGTACAACAGTGC